TACAACGAAAATTTTCTAAAGATAGTCTTCCTTCAGAAATACAGTGATATAAAAACACCAGCGCCTCGTTTTGATTTTTAAACGTGCAGTAGCCTAACGTGTTCATGTTTATTCAAGAAGCCTTTTGGAAAATCGGTCAGTTTTGATATTGTGGCAAGCGCCACAAATAAATAAATGTATGGGAAACACATCCCACAGCACAACCACCTGAGCCCAACTTAAGTTTACTCATCGCCTTAACTTTAACTGTGTTTGTAGTCGGTGCCATAGCCAGACCGTTAAACAAACACAGACCGGAAGTTAACTTTTTCAAAAATAGTGGAGTGTTCCTTTAACTTTAACTACGTTTGTAGCCGGTGCCATAGCCAGACTGATAAACAAACACAGACCGGAAGTTAACTTCGGGCCAGGCGCGCGCGCCCGATCAAACCGTCTGTATAAAGCTTGAAGCATCAGAATCGGCATCGGTATCGGCCGATCACCATGACAAGAAATCGGTACTCAGTATTGGCTGCAAAAATCCTGATCGGAGCATCCCTAATAAATATTAATTAAAAAATCTGAAATATTGCTTTAAATTTAAGTTGAATACTAAAATTACTAAAACTGAAATAAAAGTTTAAAAGAAATATAAAAAAAATAATATGACAAAATACAAAACAAAAACTTAAACATATAAATGAAAAGTGAAAATATCAAAATAAAATCTCATTCAAAATATTAATAAATAGTATAAAAGTAAATAAATAACGGCAAAAAATCATTACATTTTAATATAGTATTTATCAGAATAACATTAATTTCTAGTCTAGAGAGAGAGAATATAATTATAACAAATATTGATCCTGGATCTGTTCTGTAACTTATTTCAGTACGTATTTCATTCTTACACAGTGAGAGACTGTTTCCATTTGGGACTGTGAGTGTTGGTGCATTTCTCCGTCTTCTTGGACTGGCCGTCCACACACACCTCAACATAAGGACTGGGCCCAAACCAGTTCTTCTTACTGTCCCGAAGCTTAGCGGACAGAACTGACAAAAGATGACAAATATAATCACAGATGTATTAAAAGTATTCATCTGACAACAAAATGTTAGGGCTACATCGCAATGAGCGCAAAGAAAAACACAGTCAACAAATGTCTTGCAATAACATAAAATAGAGATCACTTTGTAAAGCTCACCTGTTATCTGAAGCTGAGCCTTCATTGTGTGGCCATTGAAAACACTTGTTGTGGCTCAAATCTGAAATACACAAATAAATATATAGATCAATATTAATTCGGTTAAGTTTAGGGTTGCAAAAAGGTGGAAAATTTCCAGTAAATTTTGGAAAAATATTCCAGAAATTTTGGAAACTTTCCAGGATTTTTTGGAATATTCCAGGGATTTTTGGACAGTTTCCAGAAATGTACCGGAAATTTTCCACTCCTTTGCAACCCTAGTTAAGTTTCATCATCACAAAAACTCATGAGCTGCGATAGAAGTAAATAGTGGAAAAAGGTCGACTCACTTCAGCAACATGTAACAGCATTTGCAACCTATTTTACTTCTGTGATGTGGAACAATTACGAGTGAAACAGGATATGATGTAATGTTGTCTAAGCCAACAAAACCCACTGTCTTGGCTTTTACTGGCTGATCTGTCACCAAACGCACTGTAAAGACACATCTGATCCCTGACCAGTGCTGTATGTCGTTTAGTGCTGGTGTGCTCTGTCTGAGGTAACAGCTAATCTCACAACAGAAGTCTCGAGTAATCCTTGGCAGATTACAGATGATGTTATAATATCTTAGATAATGCTAAGAGACTTCCACGTCTCTCAGTCTGTGCACTGAGAGGAAGTGCTGATAAACAACACAGACATTTACAAAAAGCCCAATGACATTCTACTGATGAACCAAAGAGAACAAACTGAACTTCAAATCAATTATGACTTGGGACAAGCTGTAAATGTCAACATGAAATGCTGGTTTTAAATCAGTTTACTACTTAAAGCAAGTAATTTCATCAGGAAACAAAAAGAACCTTTTTGTTCAGATTTGTACTTGCTCTGCTGATATTTTTGATTTTAACTTAAGTTTAACTAAAACTGAAAAAAATATATAATAACAATAACTTAAAAATTACAAAAACACATAACAAAATTACAAAAATTTTAACTCAAATGAAAATGAAAAGGGAAAATAAATTAAAATAATAACTGATTCAAAATATTAATAAAAACTACAATCTCAGTGATGCTAAAATAAATTATTCTCACAATTTCATCAAATCTTAAACTTACAAACCTAAGTGACATATGTATTTACATCGGCAGAATTCACAACAATCAAGTTCCATATATTTCATAACTAAATGTGTTTTTTTTCCAGCCATAAAAACACATGATTAACCATTTACTGTAACAAAAATACAAATACAATGTAGTGATAACACAATAGCATGACAGCTCTGATAACTGGCCTGATATTCTTCCACATTAGCCTGTCCATCCTTTATGTCTCATGTTGACTTAAAACCACTTTAAAGGTATAGGTTTCTAACCCAATAACTTTTAATCCTAATAATCTTACACTGGATCAAATGTTTTAAGAAGAGTCATCTTTAGAATTTCACCCAAAACAAAAAAACCTTGTCATTATTTCCTCATCCACACATCACTACGCCAGTATGACTTTCTTTCTTCAGTGCAACACAAAAGAAAAATGTTTGTTCTGTTTTTTCCCATACAATGAAAATTAAAGGTTACTGGATGTCAAAAAAATTTATTACAAAAGACATCAATACTGTGTGCAACTTGTGGACTATATTCAATTCTCATTCAGAATGACTTGAAGATGAGTCAATGTTTGTGAGAAATATTCTGTTAAAAGTCTAAACTCTGTCAAGATGCCCGATTAACATTCATCCATCAGTTCCCCAGCGACACCAGCAGCAGAACTGAAGGCTTTATCAATAAACCAATGGACTATTACTCATTATAACAAGTCTGAGATTCCTCTAATCCATCTTTAGTATTTTCTGTCTTTTTAGTATCATTCTGCCAGTGTATCATGGTAAAAGCTCACATCAGCACACTGTCAGAAGTTAGTTAACCACATGAAAAAGATTTTTAAGCACTTTATAAACTGACCGGTAATGATTTGAATAGTTCACAAATTAGCACAGGAACTGTTGAACGACTGTGGTTTCGCTTTTAGCACTACAGGCAAAATCATTGTTTTTTCATGCACTGGTACATTTTGAGATTTTGGCCTAGTTTGTTTCCATAACATATCTTCTTTCAGAAGAGTAGAAAGAAAACATCCAAAATATACATTTCAGTGCATCTGCAGATCATTCCCAATACATATCTCACTTACATGCACCAATCTTTAGTTTTATTCCTATCTGTAGTTCGACGTGTTTTACAGAGGGGTTTATATCATTTGCTTTTTCCTAAAAAAAGTGTGTAAAAATGTGCTTTTTATGGCTGTTGACCATATTTATGGCGTGATTAAAAACTATCCAAAATCCCCTCTGCAAATACTTTTAACTCTAATGCGTCAACAAGTGAACCTGGCTTCATCCAATGTTCAGGTTTCTGTTCTGGAAATGTATGCAAATTAGTGCACATTTAATTAGACAATGCCTCATTTGCATTTGTAAACATGAGGTTTCAAAAAACCTGCAAATGAAGTGTGTCTTAATGTAGTTTTACATTTTTTACCCTGTTCAGCTGTTGTGTCTTGGCTTAATATTTAGTAAAAAGACATTACAATAAAGCACTGTGGTTTTACCACACTATATTAGATGGTAATAGACACATACCACAGAAATCACAATCCCATGCTATTCCAAGCATCTTGGAGTACTCTGTAAGTTCGTGGCACATAATTCTTCATATCATGGGGTCAGACACTTCTGTGTTATGATACTGTAACGGTACTTACGGAAGTGACGTCACGTAGCGTTTCTTAGCGTTGACGGTGTCGCAGCTACAAAAACCAGCAGGACGTTTACGAGTCAACTAAATACATATATGTCTTGGAAACTAAAACTGATAGTTTACAATCGTTTCATACTATAATTTATACGCACATTAATTAACGAGCTGTCAAAACACCACCCGCCGCACCGGTCAAACGAGCTAGCGTTAGCGCCTTATCAAAACACGGCTGTTTTTCTTCCATGTTGTCCTCTATACGCGTGTGTCGCTTATGATCGCGGGAAATGTTTCTAGGTCTCGGTTTTAACGGGATCCGAGGTCAACTTCCCCTCGTTTGAATAAACTTTGCTCCATCTCAACCGGGAGACCAAAGGTCCGCCGCCAGTGCTGGCGCCATGTCAGAGTGACGTCACTGCGCGACGCCGTCACGTGACGCGACGCGACGCGAGGCGCGTCCATTCTGATATCCTCCTGAGATCCAGAAAAAAGCTTTGTGAAGTTACTATTTTTTTTTCATGTCATTACATTGTTTAAAGCATAAGAAAAAGATGGAAAAATAAAAGTTTTGAAAAATAATATTGTATTCATATTTTATGCTATGTCCTCTCTAGAGTAAAATGACATGAATAGACCTATAGAATAGACATGAGAAAGCAAAAGCGATGGGATTTTTTTTTAAAAAGAAAAAATTGTTTAAGGATGATTCTCAACTATGTTATAAAAGATATAATAGAATGATTTGATATACCATTTTTCTTTATGCAATATGTGTATAAAATTTCCATAAACTGGTTTGCCCATTAAACACAATGTTATCTATACACTGTATCTAATTTGCATATTAATGTGCTGTTGGGACAGCATGTTGAAAAAAGAAGTGTACTAATGGTAGTAATAATTGGCCAGATTTTCATAATAATATCTAATATTTCATAGAAATAAATTATAAAATATAATTTATTTCCCTATTTATTTGTTATGTCTCCCAAAATGCGTAATAAACATGCTTTTAGTCCTGGTGTCCTCTACAGTGGACATGTATGAAATATGTGCTTACAGTTGTGCAAATCTAGCCTTGTGTTTTGCTCCTTGAGTGTAAGGTTTTGCTAATTGTTGGAAAAGTTTAATTTTAGTGTGTAAGCAATCGTAAAAAACTGTAACATTATTTAAGGGCTGTTTTTCCACGAGATGGCGCTGTTTGTCAGGGCAGGTACGTACCATGGTATTCTTTTCTTTTGGAAAACATTAGTAATCATGGCACAGTGATGGTATTTCCTCGTAATACCACGGTACTTTGTAAGCCAGTAGCCTACTATAATACAAAAACATGGTATATTTGTTATTACTACGGTACATGAAGTTTTTGTGCATTACACCATGGGCTGCCAGTGAGTACCATGGTATTTGTCACATGTTCTGAAAAACATTGTTATACCATGCAAATACATTGAATATGTGTTTTAATATAAAGGTGGCTCTCAGTGAATTGTGGCCCTTAGATGACCTGTGGACATTTAAAGTACTGTTTCAATTATAACTCATTTTTACTTAATGTTTAATTTTTAATGTTTATTTATGTATTCGTTGTCATATCATTTAATAAAACTGCTGTAAATAACATAAATGGATTTGTCCTAGCAAAAGCGAGTCAAAGGAGTGATGCGTTGAGCTACTGCTGGACCAATCAGCATCCGAGGAGCTGGAGACGCAGAGCGAGAACTTCGTCGGTGGCTCTTTGAAGTCTGGATCATTTCCGAGAATCGGTTCGCTCGGAGATTCATTTCAGTGAAGCGTTGCAATAAAAAAGATGCATCGATTCGTTTTGTTCACCAGTCAAAATTATTACCATAAGGCAAGACATCATATGTTAATAGAGTGAAAATTAAGAGATAACTGAAATGACGTTTAAATATGTAAATAAATGATATAGGACAGCATGTTGAAAAAAGAAGTGTACTAATGGTAGTAATAATTGGCCAGATTTTCATAATAATATCTAATATTTCATAGAAATAAATTATAAAATATAATTTATTTCCCTATTTATTTGTTATGTCTCCCAAAATGCGTAATAAACATGCTTTTAGTCCTGGTGTCCTCTACACCCCATAACATTTTCCTGAGATGTTGATTCATGACAAACAATTTGAAAATGAGTCAGATTTAAATGATTACAAAATATGATCATATTTCCATAAGGCTGTACAATTTATCACTAAATTAATGTCAGCCATGTTTAAAGAGCAGAGTGGTGAGACTTCCACACATTGGGTATCTCTGAAAAGCCCTGAATGTGCTCTTTATAGGACATCATCCATGTGAAGTCTCAGAGAAACTCACTCAAATATAATGTCCACTACAGAGACAAAAACCCATAGCTGGCTCTCAGGAGGATAATGTAATGTGTGTTTGTTGTACCTGTAGGGCAGGTGTGTACAGTGTGTTTATGCGTGTGAGGACTTCAGAATGAGCAGGCAATGGATTTATTACAGTTTTTTACGATTGCTTAAGCACAATTTTGAAAACAGGGCCCGGTTTGTCAAAACCCTACACCAAAGTAGCACAACACTTCAGATCGTTTGCTAAATGGAACACTTTTTGTCAAACTATCCCCACCTTTAGAAAAACAATATTTTGTAACCAAA